GTTCTGCAGCTTGCACACCAGCATCGAATGAGCTAGTGAATTCAATTGCGTCGCAGGATTTTTCTTCCATTTGAACCTTTGGGTGTGAAGGTATTAGTGGCGCGGAGTATACCTTAGGTGCCTCATCTAAGCGAATAACTTGTGGAGGAGGCTGTTCGAAGATTGTTTGGGCAGTCACTAGAGAAAAAGAAGGTGGTGTCACTTGCAGCTTTTTACCTACAACAAAGGCTCGCGGTTTCTCCTGTTCAGCTATTTGAACACCAGCGTCAAATGCTGGTGTTGTCGTAATGGCGTTACATGCTTTGTCATCTGTTTGAACTTTTGGCTGTACCGGCGGAGGTGAAGCAGAAAACACCCTTGTTGCATTTTCGAGGTAAATTAATTGCGATGGCGGTTGCAATTCAATGGTTGACTGTGAACTCATGACCACCAGAGGCATTAAATTCACTTGCAGCTTTTTGCCAAGAACTTCAGGCTTCGGTGCCCCTGTAGCCTGAATTGCAGCGTTGAATGTACTAGCACTTGCGATAGCGTCACATGCTCTATCCTCAGTTGAAGCCTCTGGGTGTGGAATTGGTGGCGCGGAGTAAACTTTTGGTGCCTCTTGAAGGGGCACCAGTTGTGGAGCTGGCTGTGTATAAAACTCCTCTGTTTGAATAGCTTTAGGGTAACCTAGCGGTTTTGCAGTGCTGGGTTGCTCCATTTGTATAGAAGAAGTTGTCAGATTGGGTAAGGATACTTGCAATTTCTTGCCCAGTACCATTGGCTTGGGTTGTACAAATTCCGCAGATTGCACGCTTGCATCAAAGAACTCACTCTTGGGCATTGCCTCACATCCTCTATCCTCCATATCGACAGCTAACTTTGGTGGGGGCGCAGCATAAACCGGCTGCACTCTTGAAGATTCAGCTAAAGACACAAAGGCATCTTCGGAATATGCTTGCATAGTGGCAATTTCATATACCGGTTTTTCTGACTCCGCAAATGTGATGGCCACCTGAAGTTTTTTCCCGACGACTTGAATCTTTTCCGACTGAGTGAAACCATCACAAGCTAATTCAGTTCGTAGGGCCTCGCAAGCGGTATCACATGTATTGACAGTTTGCGCTACCGGTGGAGCAGAATAAACAGGCTGTGCAGTTGCTTGTGCGAATATTGGTGGTTGTTCCTCGGTAGTGCCTGTTTGCTGGGTAACATCAAACATCTTTCTTTCGTCCAAGGCTGCACATATTTCGTCTTTCATCTCTTTCAAAGTCGTCTGACTAGGCGCATACAAATCAACTTGCAATTTTTTGCCAACTGTCTTAACCAGATCATTTGAATCACAGGCGATGTCAACTTTTTCAGGCTTTATCATTTGCCCTCCCAACTCCACCTGCAACTTCTTACCCTGGGTCATGGGTTTGAGATCATCGCATTGACATTTGGCGTCGAAGTATACAGCATCGGTTACTGTCTCACAAGCAACGTCTGTGAATCGAGAGGGGGGAGCCGATTGGACTGGCGCTGTCAATTGGGGTTGCACTGGTGGGACTGTCTCCACAGGACTCCGAGGTGGCATGGATGCGTAAACTGGATTCTGATTCGAAACCATTGGTACCTCTGGTCCACTTCCCAACAGAGAAACCTGAATTTTCTTAGGAATTTTGTCCGGTTGGATCTTTGTATCGCAGCTAACGTCAAATTGTTCTTTCTGCAAAAACGGTACCGTTTCTACCTGGACATCGTACATCTCCCTTGAGGTGACTATGCTAACTTGCAGTTTCTTATTATGCTTTTTTTCAGCAGTAGGTGAATACATTGCGATCGAGACCTGCATTTTTTTTCCATGCAGTAAGGGATGAGTTTGGGTTTCCGCAATACCCACATTCGGCATTGAAATTGCTTTTTGTTGGACCGAAAGAAGAGTTGGTGCAATTGGCGTCTCCTCGAAGTTGTCGACTCCCACCATTGATTGAGTTCCAGACTCCTGAAGGAGGTGACCAATTTGCATTCCCACATTTCTTGCTGACGGAATGCCCGCTGACTGTATTCGTTTATTCTTCATCACCCTAGGTGTAGCCTTTACATTCAACATCTCCGTTGGTCGAACTATCTTGACGTACGTGTCTACATTAATCGGACTGAGACTTTCATGCATTACCATTGGTCCGATTTGCGTTTCAGTCGAAAATTGAACTGACGGTACAGAGGAAGATCGGCGTGGTTTGTGTCGGTGAATATCATACACCTGAAGGTTTTGCTGTCGGACGTTGAAGTTCGGAAGGTCTCGAGTTTGTACTTCGTTATGTGACAGAACGTTTGCTATTTGTCTTGTGTCGTCATGCGTTTTCGGTGTCACTTGAATCGACATTCCATCCAGATTGTTCTTTGGAGGTGGTGCAGAACGTTCCACTGAAGATGGAGCCTGGATGACTGGTACCATACCGGGTTCAACATTAATTTCCACGTGACCCTTCTGCACTCCTGCCTGCTGGTAAAGCTGTCCCACTTGTGTGTAAGAATCTGAACGTCCACTAAGCATTGAATGGCCAATTTGGGAACGCTTCGAACTAACACCGACACCATCGTATTTGCCAGTTTGTAAGGCACTTTCAGATAGGAGGACTCCAATTTGGGTTGATGAAGTGGCTGCTTGGGGTCGCATCGAAACTGCAGTGACGTAATTATCGGGCTTAAGTGGAAGGGTCTCTATCATACCCGAGAAGGAACTTAATTCTTGCATGCTTCTGGGTCTAGTTTGAGCTAGTCCACTTCGTCTTTCATGTGAGATATGGCTTTCTTGATAGGAATCTTCGTGGACTATTCCCACTTGTGTTGAAGTTGACATCATGTCATTGTCAGAAATTCCAGCCTGCTGTCTAGCATTTGCATAAAGAACACCAATCTGAGCATCACTATGCATCTTGCGTCTTTCTGGTGGGACTTCTTTCTGGTAGAGGTCTGATGTAACTTCCGTTACAACGTGGCTTGTTATGGGTCCGAGTACGTCACATTGGCAGTAGAGATTGGCTCGGTCTGTTAGACAGGGATAGCCACTTTGAACCTTCTTACTAATGAGATGCTGCTGCCGAGCACTTTCTGATTTAACCTCATAAACTGGGTAGTAGGGGTACTTCTCTGACCCACTATAGATTTGACCAACCTGTATTTGAGAGTTCAGAAGGGTTTTTGGGCGGCAGTTTGGACAGCTTTGCACTAAGTCAAATCCTTGCAACGGACTCACAGCCCTGTCAGTACTTATTGACCCAAGTTGGGTGTAACAGTGAACCATATTGGTGAGGGAAGACGACTTCTTCTTTGATAATGGGCCTGATTGTGCTGCAGCGGTGATCCTGCGCCTGCCCTTATCCTTCAAAGCTTGCAGAGGAACAGCCGCTGTAGCCTCTGTGATGTACTCATGACCCTCGTCATCCTCAGAACTTGGTGTCAGACTTCTCGATCTTTGCATGGATGTATCACTTTTGATTACCATGTTGTAGGATTCTAAGGATGATATATCCACCTGAACTTCAAAATCAATAACACTGCGGCCGATCTGCGTCTGCGCCTCTAGTTGCACTGGCTTCATTGGAGCGAGTTGAACAGACTTGTGACGCTGTGAATGGCGTCTGCCCACCTCGATCCTCCCTTCTTGATGCTGGGTTTCAGCGGTCTTGCTCTCACTCCCGATCTGTACCATTGCGTCCAATTGTCTCACTTGACTCTTAGCTCGCCGTTTACCGCTTCGGATACGGGGATCGGAAGTTGGCTCGGAGTCAGAGGAAGTTGTGGAGCTAGAAATCGCGTTCACCACAGTCATTCGCGGTTGGCTACGACTCCGCTTGTGTAGCTGTTCCTGCTCGGGGATGATCAGCGGCTGCACCTTCAGACGATCAGATATCTGTTGAGAGACCCTCATTTCCTGGGCACTTTTCATTTGTTCAATCTTTCGCATCATCTCATTCAGCTGTTGCTCACTCTTTTTTGTCAAACGACTACAAAAGGTGATAAAAAAGCACAAGCATTAGATGAATGAAACTATGCCAAACTGGAAGGTTTCTCGTGACGACAGCTTCTCCTCCAGCACAAAAAATATGGGAATTGAAGCAAGTCTAGTAGGTTTTTTTAAGAAATAATCACTTCCAATAGCTCAACACTAATTGGTGTCACACACATCTACTTCCATGTAGGCAATTTAAAGTTGGAGCACTTTGTTTGACCTCTGCAATTGTGCTACCATAACAAAACGGGCCTTCCGCTTTTGCAGGATCACACCTTCAATTGTGTGTTATTTTCCTTGTTTTATTCCAACTCCAAGGAGCAAATAATTTTCTAGAAGCACTGCAAACAAAAGTACGCCGACACACACATGAAACATTGGCTGATGGACTGACTACGTGTAGTAAGGGCTCACTTTAGGTGGTCCAGGGTGCGAGATATCTGCCACCTCTCATTGTCCACTTCAGAGAGATAATCTGCGATGTGGTCGTTGAGGAGTTTCATCTCCTGCTGCATCTGCTCTGCAGCCACAAGGTGGTCCTGCAAACGCAGTAGCGGAGACCTGATCTGCACAATGTCTGGCTCTCGCAGATTTATGTCACCTGACTGAAGTCTTTCTAGTCCTGTCAACAAAAGAAATTGTGGAGATGCCAGGTTATCAGAGGGCCAAAGCAGGACTGCGGTCACTGAAATCGTTTTATCTGTGCTGTTAAGCAGCCATACTTGAATTTGCCCCTTCCCTTAACGGATAAAATTATTCACTGTTTAGATTTGATCACATTTTATGGGGCTTCACTTTGTGCACGAGATGTATGGGTCATGGCACGTGAGCAGACGCATTTTACCTTCGCAGCTATCCACGTGTCCAAAATTCTCCTCCACCACCTCCTTTCGCATTCCCAAACAGTTAGATGGGGCCACCTTTCACAAACCTGTATCCACTCGGGGTAATAATGTCAGTACAAGATGCTAAATATTGGTTGCTTGACAAATTAAACCACACCGGTTACTCTTGAGTTACCTAGACCGGCACTACCGCCATTTGCATTTCTACCTTCTATTTCACACCAACACACCCTTTCAATATTCCCGGTGTGGTGCAGCAAATGCCAAGTACCTGACGCCTTTACGGCATCAGTATAAATTCCACATACCGAAAGTGGCGGTTTCCATACAACTTATGATCAAGCAAAGTGCCATTCATGCATGATACGGATCAAGACAACGTACGTTTCGTGATAATCACGCCTTTGCGGAAGGTGTCCACCTCCGATTGCAGACGTCCATCCTGGCCAACTGTTGAAATGAGCTGTCTTTGCAGGTCGGCGAGAAGCATGTTCAGCGCTCCTTCGTGAGAGCAAACCACCTGTTGTAAAGGGAGACAAACACCATTTCAGGCAAGAAAGGCTCGTTTCCGATTTTATACGGGCAATCCAAACAGCTGAATTTCCCTTTACAATGCATACAATGAAATGAATTAAACATTGGGCAAAAATTTCACGCGGAAAGGTTTGTGATCAGATGGGAGCAGGTAGCACCATATAGGCGTTGATACCATTCGCTGTCAGAGCGAAAAATGCGTCTTTTAGCTTGCTAGAGACATTTGGATGATTTCAAAGTGGATTTGCTTTATGATAACTTCCGAAGCAGGCACCAACATTGTTTGCAAAACAGGAATGGACTTAAGCATATTGGCTAAGACTGACCTCTTGAGAATTGAACTGCTGTAGCAAATCGACGTATACTTCGTAGAGACGTAGAGATATCAGGTTGATGATCTCCAGCCAGGTCTTCTTGCACAATTGCTTTATGCTGCAATAGGAGAGAAAGCAATTGCGAAGCTGGACATTTTTGGAGGCACAATACATCCAGAACTATCCATTAGCACACATTTGGCGTTGTTTAATTAACTTGGGCGACAAATTGCCTCACGCCTGCCTTTACCTTGAGCAGGCGATACCTATAGCCTTCCCTATTTTCTGTAAAGGGTCTCAAGTTTCTTCTTACCGCACAAATGTTATTCTCTTCGTTCAGCTAACTCGATGGGAATCTGGAAGTGTGGTGCCATAGCAGGGACTTGAAATAGTGATTCCATCATAACAGTGGAAATTTCCTAATAAACACGAGAGAACATGAATTGCAGCGCCATTTCAGAGGTGCTCTTGAAGTGCATGAAGTTTGAAGGTGAGGGCTTTTTCTCCTCATCATAATTTTTCCCCTCCTCATCCCCTCTTCTTACCTTTTTTTTTCTGCAATAGCACCTTCTCTTTAGGTAATGTATTTGTAGCTCAAAGGAATGGGTGAACGACAGCCTGCACGCAGACTCACCTGATTGCCCGTTCAGTGGCCTTGGCATCGGCGTCTGTCAGCCAGAAGCAAATGGATGGCACCTCGACGATGCCTGAGGACGTCTGCACACGCCACAGGTGCGAGTCCTGTCGGTTGTCAATGAGTTGCAGATGTTCCCCCTTCTGGATTTTGTAGTCAGGACCGGTGAGGCTCACCATCGCTTGAACCATCACCGCACGGTTGTTGGGGTCTCCTATTGCCACGCCTTTGGCAACACCACCCAGGCGCATGCGAATGGGAACTATTGTCTCGCTCCGCTTCACCAAGTTCTTGCTCCGTTGCCACAAGCTTTGCATTATGTTCAGTTGCTCCTTCATTAATAATGGGTACTTAAGATAACTCCGATCGCGAGTTTTTAAACTCACTTTTGCTAATAAACTCACCCTGATCTCATTTGCCACTTTGGTGGTTTCTTTGTGAGATCGGCGCATCGTCGCAGAATGGTGTGCTTTTTGGGCAATCACGAGCTGCTTCTCCAGCTTGGCTTCAATTTCGTTAGCTTCGTGATAAAACTAATGCAAAAGTAATAGGTCAAATGCACGTATTCCATGTCGGGTAGGTATTCACACAACTCTACTAACTAGCCTACCTGATGGTACTCGGCGGAGGTCTTGAGGTGGATTTGTGCAAGCGTAGCGAGCTGATCCACATACGTCCAACAGCTTTTTACATTGTCGGTGAGAGTCTACAACACCCAGGATAAACACGAAGAGAAAATGGATGGCTAGAAGAAGATTTCACACTTGTGTCACATTTATCACATGCAAGAGGTGTACTTCGTAGGTAATTATGCACATCTGTGTGGTCAAAATGCAGTCTTCACTTTCTGAGAATTTTCAGCAGTGTGAAGAATCCCTTTTGGGTAAGGTGAACAAGATAGCAGTTGGTTTTAATGCATTAGTGGGTAGCCAGATAATTTTCACAAGACAGTAAATGAAAGATGACAACGTTGTGATTGGATTAAGCCATCATTATGGTGGCCCATGATGATTGACACTCACTTTGTAGGTCACAACGCTCTTGTGAAGGGAATTTGGGTCACTCAGTTTAACAGACCTCTCCGCGAAGTGAGTGGCCACCTCACCGATGCTTCTCTCAAGTTCCGAGATTCCCGTCAGGTATTGCAGACACTTGGTGTTATGACTCAGTTCCGTCTGCAATGATGGAGAAGGCAAATGTCGTCGCACAAGGTCATGGAGAGAGCCAAAGATGACAAATTTTGTGAGAACTCGCAGAAACATGAGGTCAAAGTGGTACAAATCGTCATTTACATTGACTCACGCAAGGTTTAGGATAAGGACACTTAAAACTCTGCCCTCCGTCTGCATTGAGGCAAACGTAGCCGTAAACTTCATACAAAAGGTGGGACGATTCCTACCTAATTCAGCATTAGCGGTATAGGCGAGACGTTTCACCTCCTTTAAAAGTTCTTCCCCAATTCCCTATGCACCAAATAACCGATGTCAAAAGTGTAAATTGAGTGATGACACAAATCAACTGCACATGCAGTGGATTGTTCAAATCCACGAAGGAGCGAACTCGCCTGTTTGATACACTGCATCCGAGCTGGCTTGCATGTTGCGAACATTTTTGCTACTTGCTTGAATACTAGTGTTAGAATGTGTTTACACTTGCATGTGTGGACACATTAACTCTCCCTGTGAGTCCCTGAATGGTTGCATTTCAACGGCAGGGGGTCAACTACACCCCAAGCGGGGTGGTGGAGTCAAGTGTCAAGTGTCATTCCCAAGAAGGGTGCACTCACCCCTACTATGGAGGCCAGGTGGGGTAGTTCGGTGCTGCTAAGGCTAAGTGAGGCTATCTCCTCCTCGATTTCCCGCAATTCCCGCAACAGATGCTCCTGTCGACGACGTTCATCATCCAGGGCCATGTAATTCACACCCACGTTCATCTCCTGGGCTTTGAGCTGGAAGGAAGCAAAAGAAAAGTGATGTCATTAGACCCCATCAGGGAGTTATGTACCACTTGATGTTTCACAAACCCTTCCTTCAGCCATTTTAATTCTAGCATTAAATAAAAGACGTATTATCATCTACACACTCATTTTTAAGTGATTCTTATAGAGGTTTAATGAGAACTTGCAGACCCACCTCGTAATCTGTGAGCGCCTTTTTAATTACCCCGATATCTAAAATGTTGAATAAAAAAATTAGAACTGTGGGGCAACCAGTACTATACTGAAAGGTGGCACCCATGGTTCGAAATGTAAGCTCGACAAATTTTGCAACTTGTAGCGATAACTAGCCAAGCCCTCCCCAATCGCCGTCATCATTCAGCAAACCAGCACACACACACACACACACACACATACAAATGCCTTCTCAAAAGCAAAGACCCTCGCGTTTGTTTGTGTGTGTGTGTGTATGCTAAGGGGTCGCGTTGCCAACTTTTTGCGCACCTGACTCCGATGAAGAGGGCGCACGATTTGCATAGACGCCTACTTGGCATATAGTCAGGTCTGGCGTTTGCACGAATTCTTCACCTCCACAGTGCCTTACGACCCACCTCACCTCCACACACTCACCCAGGTGCAGTAAAACAAGCACCTCGTAAAAAAACACCTACGAGTGTGATCCTCACGTATCCTCTGCACTTGACACAGATACTGACACACACACACACGCTAGTGCAGAAAACTTTTATCACCTCCCATCCATAATATGGTGGCAGGGGTTAGTACAGCCATTGCCACAATCGTTGGTGCTCATGAAATTCAATTGACACTCATTCGTCAATATGCCACTTTATTTCCACGTGTTAATTTTCCCACAGGCATAAAAATTAATACCATTTTCGCACTCCGCAACACCGTACCTACTTGTGCTTTTACAAATATCTTCTTTTCATAAAGTGCTTTAAATGACGTCAAATTCCAAAAGACGACGGTTTGGTCGTACTTTGTACAGGAAATTTGAGACAAATAGGGATCCGAGTCATTTATGTGGGCATATCACTCAGCGAGTTTTGGCGATGGAAAGGCCTAGACCCGGTTGGATAAAACCAGATACAACGTGGACTCGAATAACACTGATGTGACTGAGCATTTTTACATCCTCAAAGGAGTGGGCTGGTGCAGAGAGAAGGCAAGTGCCCAAAAGTTGGCGTTTTCTGTCAACCCTGAACCGCACCCAAGTAGCCATTCAACCTTGCATTTGTGCTTGTCACTAACGCACTGTTTCGAATGGAAGATTTTAGTTCATTATAAGGCGGTGTCAAAAACCAAAGCGCCTAAACCCACGCGACAGTGATGAAATTTTGACACTCACCCAAGTTCTATAAGTGAATCGAGAATGCCCACGTATTCTGTGGCGATTTCCTGCCTGTAAGTGCATTTTTTAAATACAGGGTCCTCAGGCGCTACTTGTTTTCGGTTAAAATTTAGACCTTATTGCAACGAATGATCCACCGTAATCTCCTGCGAATGGCACGAGGTAATATTACCGAACTCGAGGATGGCTTAAGTGAAAGTCATTTTATGAGCTGCAACTCATCCTCATCTATGGCGAAAACAATGGAGGCAACTGGTTGAGAAAACCATCAAAGGCTGAGATTCTGCGGCCTTTATTACGTCTTATGAACACAATACGTGCAAATGGTAAATTATTCCATCTTAAATCAACACTACCTTCTTATTCCTCGAGTACCTCTGGCTTGAAGCATACAGAGTACGCCCGACTGCCTCGTAACTAAAATACCTCTGGCATAGATAAGGTCCAACCCACTGCTCACCACGGCGCGTAAAACCTGCTTGATATTATGGCATGTGAGGGGTAAATTAAAGACCCTGAGAAGCATCGTGAAATAAAGGTGGCAACAGGTACTGGGCATTGGCAAGTTAACCAAATGTATGAAAATGTGAACAGCATAAGGTACCGACTTACCGCCTCGGTGTACCGCCATGTTTGATAGTTAAAGCTCACAGGTGCGAAATACAAATTCCTCAAGTTCTTCTCGGTTGTCAGTAGAAAACGAAAAGGTTTCGAAAGACCGACTCCTTGTCAAAGAGGTTCTTGCCTTAGAAAAGTCGTTACTACGCTCTCACTGCTATTTATTGGATGTGTGCGAGCGTGTGTGTGCGTGTGAATGAAAAGTCGATGCTTTGGAACTGGTCTCTGAAGCGCCAATTGAATGAGACGTACTCTGTGAGCCGTGTCATCCTCCGTGGTGATCGCTGATTAGTTGGTTGCTTAGCGCGCGGGTTTTGCAATTGTGTGTGTGTGTGCGTGCGTGCTGATGCTCAGTGTGCGCCAATGTTGGCGGTTCAATTTGACCCCATGCTCTAACCCGAGGAGCACACGCACATACACACGCACACATACATGCCAACTCGGTTACAGACAACTACGCAGGCACTTAAACCTTGCTCACGCAATAACACCCTTAAAGGCTTCTCTGAGGCTTCTTTTAGAAAAGACCCTTCTCACTAGAGATGTGTGTGTGTGTGCATGTGTGCGCGCGTAATGCCTGAGAGATTCTGTACCCACAAGGCAAACACTGGCCTTCTACCACAGTCACTGACAAGGTTTACTGTCTAATGACGCTCTACCTTGATCTAAGTTCTTCACTTTTCAAAGCTTTCTGTTTGACAATCATTGTAAACTGTTTTTTGAGGTTTAGCTGACAAAACTAACTCCATCAAAATGTATGTGCAGTGTCTGGCAAAAGTATGATATGCGATAGTTTTAAGCAGATGATGTTAAAATTTTATCTTCACACTCGTGTGAGCTTTACTGGTTCGGAAATTGTTTGGATGCAGTCCCATTCCTTGGCCCTGCATTTCAGTGGGGGGATAAAGGAGTTAGCACTCCTCTTTTCCTATGCCTAATGATTTATTCACCGATTCCATAAAGGAATCTAAAAAGCATATTTATGCTAAATAAAATTGCGCTCTCCTCACTAAACCCTCCACCTATTTGCTGGAGGATGATATCGCGCTATAGAGTATCCGAAATGTGATACACGACGTATCCATCCGTGTGATTTCCTTGTACTTCACCTCACCACCACACTTTGTACTTCCAACGGAAAATAGCAAGCATTGTATTAAAGGAATGGATAAATATGTGAAATTTAATTGGACTGCTAGTTGCTTAAAAAGAGGAAAAAGTAGTTTAATCCTGTGGCATTTTCAAAAGGCCTTGTCACTTTATTCAGCTTGATATGTTTGACAGTTGGTCAGGAAAGTACTTCTTCACATGCAGCGTATACTCTGTGAATGTCAACCATCCGCTTGGCTCAGGACATTAGTCAAGGCCGGCACATTATACAGTTGGCTGTGTAACAAGAATCAACAGGTTGAGTTTCCTCCCCCTCCCCTAAAAAATATACTTCTTCCAAGTAAATTGAGGTTATACGGTGCATACATTCGTTATTTTAAAGCAGCAGTCTTAGTCATTAATTTCACAGTTTTACGGCCCAATTTCTTGCTCCACCTTTGGAGTGCCCATTTTGATAAACAAGTCAGACGGTTTGGAGTCTACAAGCACTTCTTGTCGTGAGTCCACTTACAGACAAAAGCCTGATGTCTTCTATTTACCTTCCACAAAACTGAGGCCTTTTATGTCTTCTGTGTTTAGTCAGCCACAAGGTGGTTAGTAAGGTGGCATGTGATATCACAACAATGCCCAACGAAATGTGAGTGACGAGTTAGGAGGTCACTTTCTGCGCCTTCTTGACTGAAGGCAAAACAACTTGTCTGAGAACCACAGCAAAAGTTCACCCGGCTGCAGTGTTGTAGCATCTCCAAGATTGACCAAGTATCGTTTAAAAGGGCATATTTTAAGAGGTGGGAGATTAAACATAAACATTATGCACAGGTGAGATGGAAGACTCATGACCTCCTCCTGTAAATGTTCCGGCCACACGGTGCGTCGTCATTCCACCCTCAATTTTGTCCTGAAGCTAGCTTGCAATGCCGGAGGGTAGATATCTGCTTCAGTCGCAAATCTGAGCGACTAGAAGATTGAGGGAAGTTTGTTTCAATACTCACCTCTTTTAAAGCCTCCATCCACATGGAAAATTTGATGGGCCTTTTCTGGCCAGTCCTTTTACCCAATCTACTGCATTCCAGTGCAAAGAACTCTGACAAAATGGCACTTAAGAAATAGTGAAGAAGCCTAGAAGATTGACATTGCAAAGCATTTAAAATTCCCTGCAATTTAAATGCTAATTAGATCCCATAGCTTCAGGAGAGTCGACCTCATCACCCTTCTCAAAGTCCAGTCAGCCGCTTCTAGGGTATTAAAGAAATTGGGTGAGACCATACAGACTTACTGGCAACGGTTGTGCAAGCGCAAATGGAGGAGGACTATGAAGAAATACATTTGCATAAATTACACCACAACATGCACAAATATACATGCACGGCAATGAGGCGGCGATCCATCCTCCATAAACAGCTGTCATTGCTGTCATGGCGTAGATGCGATGGTAAGTGAATTGTCACATCACTTCCCTTTCAGGCGTGTCGATTTGTTGAGTTCTGACTATTAAATAACTCTTTATTGGCGACAAATCGCGCTAGTAACCTCAACACCAGAGTAAGAGTTATTTTGGTAATTAATTCTTCATAAATTATTGCATTTTTAAAATAACTTTCCGTTAGTCTCAGTTCCCACACACACAGCCATAATTTGAACATCTTCTCACGAAATGTACCTTCATTATCACAAAATAGTTTTCTCCCTTTCTGGTATCGCGTCTTGGTGAAGTGACTGTAGCAGACACTAACTTAACTACAACTCGGTAGCCCGATGGGCTTGATTGCCTGAATGGCTCCATTCGCTTTCCATGAAAGCATTTGCCACAGCATCACACTTCAGGATTTCAGCACTTTTCGAAAGGGATGACAAAGTCGTCATTTAGACTAAATAAGTGTACAGAAAACGCACTTCTTAATGCTAAGCTCCCCAAATTGAGTCTTGAGCTGTGTAGGTGTTTGATCATTGCGCCAGGCGAGTACAGTCATACCTCTCAAGCGACTCAGAGTCATTAGTGTTTGCATAAAGTATAGCGGCGGATAAACAAAGCCTACTTAATCGAACATAAAATAGTGGGAAAAAGTTTACTGCACGGAGATGATAAAGAAGGTATTGTTTTTATTGCAAAAGCACTGCAAATTTCAGGAGTTTTTAACCCTCATCGTCTCCGAAATGTGATCCCTCGAAAGATTTTAATGCAGCTGTTTCTTTTTTCTCACTTCGTAGATTAGAGTCTGTATAGATGACGGATGAGGTGAGGATAAATTTGAGGAGGGTAATTTAAAAGGTGGTAAGCCTCTGGTAGTAGCCTAAATGGAGCTGATGAGTGACAATGCAAACACCACGTCCGCACTCTCGCACATCCACGCACGCACGCACGCACGCACGCGGGCGTGCACGAGAGCACACGGCATGTCGACCGCTCACCCACCCACCCACTCACTCACGTGCTGCAGACCTGGCGGCTGAGCCAACAGAGGGGGCATGGATGGTGCTCAAGATGCCTCGCTTACTCATCCCACGGGTGGCAAGCTTACAGGGTGTTGAGCAACACCAATGCTTCAGCATAGCCTTTAACATTGACAGCGCTTACACGCTAGACGATAGGACAAAAAATCACGCTCGTGTGCTATTTTCTGCTATGGTAAGCAGGTTCTGATAAATGCAACATCCTCGAACAATTTAAGCATCTCTTAGCACAGAGTGTGGTAAAATCAAATCGTAGTGTTTGACTGTTGCACAAAGCACAATTTAATTAGCCATCCATTTCTGTTGGGAATCCCACAGCGGGAAGCATTAATTGATTAAAATTAGTTTCCACGACAAGTAAATTTGCTCAAAACCAGGGATAAACTCTTTTGCGCTAGCAACGACCTTACACGGAGTTTGATCAAGATGTCAGCTTTGGTTGCCTAGTTTTATTGGGTCTTCTGGTGTATTGTTCGGATTGTTTAACCCTTCGTTTTGGTTTTGTGGGCACTTGAGCCTCCGTATTTTTACTTCCGCTGGGCGAAACAGTACCCGGGTTCTGCCGGTAGCCCACCCCTAGCCCTCCTGTACATCGACAACATAAATTCCTCCCCAGTAACGTGACGACTTCTGTCTTCACGGAAGTCCCAGAGCGCTGCACTAGCATGTCATGTAATTTGCCTAACAGCTTTGTAGAAAAAGGGAGGCGTGCGATTGCAGTGTCTTACGCTGGATATGTGACTAATTCCTTGCCCCCTTACTTGTTTTTGCTCCTTACTCAAAGAAATTAGTGGTTGTATCTCCCTCTCACACCTCACAGATATTTAACACATCGACTTCAAATTTTCGGTTTTTTTTTTTTTACTTTGAGATTCAACAATGAACCTTGTCATAATTCAAAACCAACAAGGCGTTCCGCTGACCCTATGGAGAAAACTCTAGTAAAACTAGTTGTATTTTCCACACACACTCAGTTCACTTAAACAACAAATAATTAATGGAAAAGCTCTACTCCTAAGGAGCTTTTAATTAAAAAGAACACCTAGGAGTATTCATTCGAATATTTGTGCTTTATGCGTAATATTCTAGAGCTAAAGTAAGTTCCTTATTTTTAAGCACCCCTTAGGCAAACGCCATGCGCCATGTTGGCTTTGCAACCGCTGTGTGTCGCGTTATCGAGACCGGTGTATAAAGCTCAGACCTGAGTCCTTTAAAGGCACTTTTGTGCTTTGAAGGTGATACTTAAAATGTACTGTAAGCTTTGATTTTAAGTGAACAAACCAGAAATAAAGGTGATCATAATTATCACCCAAGCAAGAAACTAAGCTGCGAATTTGAGATCAGAGGCTGGAAGAGTATGATTTTCTACCCAATAAATGATAATTATATGGGAGTGCTTGAGATCGCATTTTAAGTGCGTCGATCTCAATCTTGCAACTACGTAATTGCAAAAAAACCCTCCACCGCATTTTACAAGAACTACGGCTGGAGGTGGAATCTCCTAAACCTTTTTATCTTTCGAGTTCGCAAACGATATCTATTTGAGCCCTATTAATGAACAATCTTCTTCCTACCGCGCATTGAGTCTACATTTTCAGTGGTTATGTGGCAATCAGTTGAAGATCCACATTTACTTCATAACAGGGAAAGAATTATTTTATTACTTCTATCTCCATTGCTGATTGGCTACCTTGCGAGCTTTCAGGCAGCCTGTGTCAGAGATGCGGTGGCAATCGAATCACCCAACTCGGTGGTGCCAGGAAGGTTGATGCAGTACAAGTCAGGAACCAAACTTAAAGGTCTTCTCAGTGTTGAATCCTACAATCTCTTATGCTGCGCACGCTTCTGTCACTCCCAATTTTACGGCTCTGAAAGTGATACCCTCAATTAGCTCTCGAAGTATACTGAAGTTATGTGATTCAAGGTGTTAATATTTCATCGCTTCTTGGATTAATCATACTGCTCCAATTATTGTTCGATGGCTGCCTCTCACACACTCAGATCTTTATTGTTTGTTCGATTTGAAGGATCAAAAGCGATGCATGGTCTCAGTCAAGTATACATTCCACTACCATTAGTGTTCTAATGAATCAGTAATTTCTGCAGTTTCCTTATGCGGCACTGTCTTCATATTTCATTTCAGAGGTAAGCTGTAGTCACTACTAAAGATGCAGCTACTTTTTCAGTAGAATTGTAGGGTTCCGGGTCTTCTCTGAGGTAGAAAGTATACATAATACACTACCCATTTACGGAAGGGTTGAGGAGGTACTGACTTATCAGAAGTACAATAATGGTGATTTAAGTACCCGTGTAATCAAAACACAGAGTTAAGCGAACAATTAAAGTATTAAAATGTCTCCTCTCCCTTTTGGAGTCGCCAGCGGTGCTGCTCTTGGTCAACCTTCCGTGTCAGCCATTACGACGTAGTCGATGCTGGAGGACAAACAACCATTAATCAACCACGCTAGTCATTGAATTTGCTTGCAACTAAGATGCTAGACCTCAGAGTCATTGATCCCTCTTGGCAATTGGACTGGATCGGGAGCTTCATACTGTATGGGAACTGTACTGGGGGAAGGGAGATGTGTAGGCCATTTCATATGTTCCACGCTAGCTACAGAAACATTGGTTTAAAAGGTGTGTCATTTAGTAGAGGGTGGAATTTGAAATGGCTCCTTGGGGATAAGGTATCGCGTCTATTCTGCCTTGCCACCTAGCCCTTACTTCACTGCTGCCTAGACGTACATAGCAGGGTTCCATAGAGCTATTGCATAGGTGGGGATGGTATTGCGTGATTACTTAATTGACATCTTCATACAAGTGCCGTAGACAGCTCCGCAACGAACTTCTCCAGATGGTTTACAGCCAACTTCTCTTCTCTTGTTAGTAGCACTTGTGCGAAACACGGGACTGGGGTGATTGATGGGTGTGGACGTCATTTCCATTCCTTCTGTTTGGAGTCGTCAAAGCCTTTCCCACCTGCATCATTTAACCTTCTTCCGTCCTGTTAAAGGTTTAACACTCAGTAATAGAAAGAAGAAGTAGAGAGAAATCGTGCTACTGGGACAGAATATATAATGCCCCGTACAGAAGGGCTTGGGTGCTACTGGCATGGCTGGGAGAACATGTCGCCCAGCAGACGTACAGAGGTGAGGCCTTAACTATACTCACAATGAAATGCTAGGTGTCAAACAAATAATGAAGGTGTTACAGAATAATCCACTATAGAAATCATGTACACGATGGAGAGGATCCCTAATCACTATTTATCACCGGATACTTAATGCCGTCTTGTCTTTTGTTTGACTGTCTCGTGACAATGCAACCCTTAGTCATGGGGAAAGCCCACCTGCATCAAAGGTAAAAATAACATGCAGGAGGAAATCGTGTGCCTTTGATGGCGACTGATGCTCCCCCAAGGTGTGAGGCGATATTGATCCCTTTTAATATCGACTGGCGTTACCACCAATAAATCAATTCGTCCTTGGGTGGAACCCCGCTGCGACTCGAGGTGGCCATTCGATGTGCATTAATTTCAGTAAAATGCACCTTCATCTCTTATTCACTGGACAGCCAAGTATCCACCTCGTTACTTAGACTTCGCTTGTTGGGCGCATCATCAGTGATTCCTGTCTGCAAAGAGGATTAACAATCCAGCCAAGGCCGCCTTTTTTCTCCACAGGACATGCCTTTCAAAAGTGGGTAAGTATCAAACATTTTTGTGCGTTTTGTTCAAACAAACCTCTCCGTTGTCTATTCTTCGAGTGTCTCAAAACCCGAGACAGTCAATCGCAGACATTCTTGCACATGATCCATGGCGATGCAAAAATGAATTTTAGAGAGGTGTTTGCTTTAAACTTGAAATAAAAGCTTTAATGCGAAAATAATTTTCGTAAAATCAAGAGGCTATGGACATGGCGACCAAATCTTGACATTTTAAACACACCTACACCAATAACTCGTTTTGCACTACTTAATTTATCGCTAATCGACCGATGCATGCTCTTAATTTACAGTCCGTTTTAGCGTCAATTTTTAAAAATATAGATAAATTTGTATCTTCTTGGACTGTCAGATTTATCTAGTAGTTCCAGCATAAGGTTGGATATGATGGGAGTTAAGGTAGAAAGGTGTAGCCATTCCTCGCGAATACCTATTTTGGGAGTCGCTTTGCCCTCCCACCCTGTAAACACTTCAAGGGCCTACTTGAAAGCCGTACCACATGCAGAGTTGCTTCGCTGGCTTGGCAATGTCATATCGGCGCTTTTGATTCTTTTTGTGGCACAAAAAATGCAGCCTAGCCTATGAGAAACCGACCTAGAGGGAAAAATCAAGCAATGGTGTTTTTTTCGTTAATTTGTTGCATCATTTCAAGGCGTAGTCCCGACACATGGCGGTTTGATCACTATTATTCCATGTAACCAGGACTTAGGCACCTTCCACTGCACCAACTTCACACTTAGTGCACAAAACACTTTTACTAAGGCTTCTGCGTGGCGATGAGTTTTTGTTAAATTTTTAAGTCCAGGGCAAGCAAGTGTCATATACTGCATAGGTAAGCCACGTAGTCCCATCAACATCACATCAGTTGAAATGGGGTTTACTCACTCATTAAGACTGTGCAGTGGCATGCATTACAGTTGAATGCGGGCTCAAACTAACGCAGAGATCTTGAAGCAGTCAACTTGACGACCTGATTTTCGCTATTCTACAGTAAAACCAAATTTGGCGAGTCAACACAATTTTAAACAAAACATTTTTGGTTATGAGGGACTTGAAGTCGTCCCAATGATTGTCCCCTCTCTTCTGCCTCGGCGTTTTGAGAGCCATTATTATATGTAACTGACAAATAAATCGACTGAACAACCTAAATTTAAACAAAGGCAACTAGGATACCTGGCTAAATCACTTATGCTTTTCAAATTTGTGAATTTCTTTGAGATCGTCGACGAAAAAAGTCTTCAGATATCTTAAAGTGCTGGAGTAATTGAAACTGAAGCTTAAATGAAAGGCATCATGCCAACTTTGAGGCACTGGTAGCAAATAAGGAAAGGCGTATTGAACCCTCCTTCCAAAGGTGGTTGTTTTAACTGAATGTTTAGCATCAATGCTCCAATCCAGAATCTACATGTTTTCTTATTAAGAGGGGTAATTGGCCAGTGTTACTGAATAACTCATAAGTAGCATGTTAAAAAGTTATGTCAAGACAATTTTGAAACCTCTTTAGTAATCCTTACTGCACAATAAAAGTAGCGTTTTGCATCTTCTCTTAAGATGAAAGAAGTCAATACTAGGGTAGAGTACGTACTGGCATTGTCTGGAGGCCATGCGGAATACAAAGGCGGAACCAAAGCGAAGTTAAACAAATAATCTTAGTATTGCATAAATACCCTGTCTACCTGCTCTATTTCTCCTTTGAAGTTACGTAAACCTCGCTGGAATGTGACAATTGCGTAAAGCGTTTAGTTTTTAGCTCAAATATTTACACGGATGATGCGGGGCTAAGGTGCCGCGCGAAGCTGTAAAGAACCGCCTTTTCAAAATATGGCTTTGATTTTGAAATGACTTGTAATCTAACTTAACACTTACTTTAATGCATGTCATCGGCTAGTGGGACTTCTTTTAGGCTGATTATTACGATTATTTTGTGCCTAATTATTAGGAAGTGTAGTTTTAAGAAATAATTTAATCAAATGAAAATAAACAATAAAAATTGCCTTTAAAATAGTTGGGCATAAGTTAGCAGAGATAAAAATTACTTAAACTTTAGCGGAGTTTTGGAAACATGCTTTCAGGAGGATTCTAGGGGTGCCGTAACCCATTGTCAACATTACTCTGGCTGAGTGAACAAACGCGAGTGGGGGATGGGTGTACAATGCTGCACATCGTCATAATCATGAGGTTATTGCAGAAGTAAAAATGGTTTTCCTTCTTCAGATATGTAAAATGGAGTCAATCAAGGTTTACTTTTAAGTCATGACCAAAATGCGCATTTTTTACTTTGAAAGTAAGTCTATTTCAGATTACGTAATTCCAAATCATGCTAGAACACGTACAGCTCTCCGAGTCTACTCTGAAGGCAAAAGGAGATAATACTAGGGTAGGGTACCCATTGTCAACGTACACAGAAGGGCTGGCGGCTAGAGTGGAACACTCGTGGACACTTAAATGTCCTTGAAACCAAAACGAGAAAGTAAATAAGTAGTCAACGATTCACATAGCTCCTCCATCCTTTTTAGTGTCGTCTCCCGTGATCCCCTTGATCAACCCCACGCGTAGGACGTTGAAACCTAGTCGCTGATGTCAGAAAAATACCCACCAATCAACTGCGCTAGTCATCGAATTTGTATGCACTGCAAAAATTTCCGATTGCCACATCACTGGTCCCTATTAACAATTCCAACTGATCTGGGGTTTCGTCCTGTTTGGAACTACATTGGGAGAAAGGGCAATGCGCAGGTTATCACGTAGGTCTATCGCTAGTAGTAAGGGCAGAGACATTTACCAGGAACGAGGTTTGAAACAGGCTGGTGGGGACAAGGTAACGCACCCATTCCTCCTTACCACCTTGTTCTGACTTTAGTGCTGCCCAACCAACTGGACATGGGTCCAGTCCAGCCAGTGGAGAGGTAGAGGGGGTATCTCATGTTCACTTGGTTGGCATATACAGCCACCGTAGACAGCTTCACAAGGTACTTTTCTGGATGGTTCACAAGTAGTGTCGCTTGCGTTGTTAATGGCATGAGTGCGAAACACGGAACTAGGGTGGTTGCCAAGGCTAGATGTCATTTTCATTCATTCTGGTAGGAATCGTCACCGATCCTTTACCTCCCCTCCTCAGCATATAAACTTTTGCCGTCCTGTTAAAGGTTTAACACTCTGCGACAGAAATTAGACCAATTGTTCGCTTTCTGCTGCCACCAATGTAGCTTACCAAGTCTTTGTGAGGACAAAATGCGACCTCTAAAGGGCTGGAAGGGGCTACTGTCATGGCCCAGAGACCATGTCGCCCAACGGAGGCACGAAGGCGGCACCTTGGGTGCCTGCGAAACATTAACGAGGTGTTATGCAAACAACCCAATGTTACACTCGCTTCCATCATTTCTTTTAGAGCAATTCCCTTTAGCAGTGCAAATTGCAAAAGTTTTTCTGCGTCAGTCACACCACCCAAGAAAGTCACATAGCTTTTCACACCATTCTAGTACACGAATTCCGCGACGACGCTGGCAGTGTGTGCGAAGGCAACATTAGCCACTTCTCTAAAAAATTATTTTTACTGAAATACCCAACACGGCTTCACTTTTATTCTACTCCGTCATGAATTTTTACAGACGAGTCAGTAAGGCATTTTATTTATGTCACGTCACCTCACTTTGTATCGCTCAGCAGCCGACTGTCATCCAGAGACGACAACTTTATCCGCCTTGCACAAATGTTGGATTCCGATGAAAACACCCCTGTCATGGCTACAGCCAACACCAGTGGACAAAGTGTTGGAAAAAAGGGACCGGTGGGAAGCCTTGGGGTGGGGGTGGGGAGATAGGCTTGGATCACATGATACGCCAAGTAGGTTCTCAGCCAAAACAAAGAACGCGAGTGCACGTTATGGCGCTGAAGGCCAAGTCCCAACTCCCCCTTCCCACAACCCGACTCTCCACTCAATGTCACTAAACTATTAACCCGAAAGTGGATCACTTTGTCTCCTCTCTACTTGCGTCCTCGCGCACCTCCTTGCAGCGAAAAGTGGACTGAGGTAGGCCAGACGTGAGTTAGTTGCTGTATCACCATGCCCCGTCAACGTCGATTAGTCTCCATTTGGGTTTAACCATACTGGTATTTCAACTGTATCATAATCGTGCATTCAATTTTCTCATTAACATTTCCAAATGTCCCCACTGGCATTCCACAATGATGTAGCAGTTCCAACGGAAGTGTTTTAAAGCCAATATTCACACCATCCACTGTTCGAACCACCTTGCGCTGATGCGTGCGTATTGAGTATGCCTGCCGCACACTGCGACCACTTTTTATAACCCTCTGTGGGCATTTAATTACTCCGCCTTTTTCTATAGCTCGCAAACCGATTCCTCTTACAATCCTTTCCCGGGAAAGCTGTGTCCGTTATTTGGCGGTGTGAGGTGGAAAGTCCTTGTGCTTTGCGACTCAAGTGCCACCATGGGTTTGAGCCGAGTGAGGCCTTTTCCACTCGTCTTCGACTGAGTGCTTTCGTGCCAAAGTAGAGGAGGTTCTGTGGTGCCTTTACAACACTTTTGTGGCAATAATGGCTCCAGCTTAGGGGCAGCTTTTCGACAATTTATTCAGTTTCTACATTGTCAACCACTGTTTGATGATCAGACGCATAAAGCTTGTATTTTGACATGTTGCGCAGTACGGGCTTCTAACCCCCGAATAAGTCGCATAGACTAAGTTCAATGGTAAGTAAAGCGGAAAGCAAGCCTTTGTCCTGATTTCTCCATTTGACTCTTCCTTAAATGGGAATGTAGAAGGCTTTTTCTTCTGCTATAGCGGGTAGCGGAGTAAATTAGCTCCGCTGCATCGAGAGCGTTTTTGCCAATTGTAGCACCGTTCTCTTCCTTTCACTACCAAATTCGAATACTTGTGAATGACGAAATTCTATGTTTGGAAAACTTTTTTTCCTACAGCAATCATGCTATGTTTTTACTGTATTCGTATTAAGTCTTCTTTTCATTGTTAGGTGTGTTAGATTTGTTTAACAGGAATCAACTCGTTGGGCTACAAGCTTTCATGTTTGGGCTTCATTTGATTTGCCTTAAATTTTACAAAAAAATTCCATCTGCTGAACAATTAGGCCTTATTACTTTAATGATGATGCGATACTTTGATTATATGTTTCCCTCTCCGTTTTGATTTCGCGGGCACTTAAGGCTTGGTTTTTCTACTTTCGCCGGGCGGAATGTCCTGTGGGCCATGCCAGTAGCCTCCCAGCCCCTTCGGTACGTCGGCAATGCCTATTCTGCCTACGTATCACGCCTTCTTCGAATTTCAGAGAGTACCCAAGGCGTTGTAATAATACCTCTGTTTCCCCTTAGTTTGTTGAATTCGAACTTCATAGGAAATGCACTAATATTTGACTACCTAATGGGCAAAAAATCTACTAATTCTAAAGCAGATCCTGACGCTTTCACCACTAGGCTCTATCTTCAAGGCAGACAGACCACCGCACCTTAGATGCTCTACTTTCTAGTAGTCTTTCTGCTCATTGCAACTATCCTGAGACCACGAGCATATTACATCTCTTTTATTATTTAATCCGTTTGAGACAAGAATTGGTGCAACAATTTACCATGGCAAAGCCCCAATGTCACATATGTGTGACGCTGATACTAGGAGTGTTTAAACCTGTACGGTACGCAAGATATTGGTGCTACTACAGTCATACGCAGTTTGACCGTATTTCTTGCTTACCATTGAAAGTCATGACCTAAAATTCCCAACAGTAACTACTTGTTTTCCTCCTGAGTGATAAACTCTACCAAATGCCAACAAGCATAGGTGACAGCGAAACCACTTAAAGTGCTCAAACTGCTTCAGTACGTTTTAACTGGTGGTACCACCTTTCCAAACAACGGAGCTACCTGCACCTCTACTGAATCGCGACGCATGACCACGCTTACCAAAGCCCTCAATGAATACACTTGATTCGGTTATTAGGCTTTCGAGTATCATCCACGCAATCTATGACTGTGAAGGTGTGAAGTACCATAACTTAATAAATGCGAAGCGATTAAGACAAGTTGGATGATTCAGAGCACCATCATGAATAGTGTTGCTGCATTCTGCAAACTTGAAATGATTTCCATGGTGTCCTAGGTCTCATGAGATTTTCAGGTTTGCCGTGGTTTTCGTTTTGCGGTTCATTCTGGGGCTGAGGCCGCTTAGTAGTTGTGAAGTTTTGCTTTTACCATGAAGGGTAGCACTTTTCTGTGGATTTTGTCTTCACAACTATCAAGTATTTAAAAATGGACATTGAACAGAGAAGCTTGTGAGTTAGTACCTTGTATACGTGAATTCCACCTACTAAGTAGGTGTATTATTCACTCCTTCTACACAAAGCGTTTAAATTGTGTTTTAGCCGCCCCCCAAAAGTATTTTAATCGCAAAGGTTCAATGGCTTTCGGTCGTAGGTGCTAGCAGTAGGAAGAGAATATAATGGTAACACATTATATTAGTAAGCAGCACGAGTGTTTTGTGAATAGTACAAAATAAGCGAAAGGAGATAATAAGTTAATCCTAATAAATAAAGTTCTACAAGGCTTCTAACAGACGTAGCCTTATACTTCCATATCAGATTCTTCATCGGGACCTGGGCTTGAAAAGAAGGCTTCGCCTTCTCGAGCAACACTTTCTTGTATCGCTTCCGTGCTCGGGAAAATGACCGCTTCTGGCGCTAATAGATCCACATTGAGTATATCATTTAGAATGGCCTCATGCACACTGTATCTCTCCGGATGTGGTATAACGGGAGTGGTCTCACCGGCACCCAAAGTTGATTCCCTAGACTCTAATAATGGATCTGGTAGGGTAGACGTTGATGGCATAGGAATTTTGACCAATTCTCCACTTGTAAGGTCAATGAGCCCTTCCTCTAGAGCGGTTGAAAGATTAACACGCTCTTCAGTCGATTTTTGAATGAAATTCACTCGGTAAGTTCTCCTTCGAAGGGTCGAAGTGTTCCACAGGACTTGGCATTCCACTGGATATTTGCGTGAGGTGCTGTGTAATGCGATTCCCACACCTCTTGGGTACTGCTTTTCCACAATCACCGCATTTGCTGTTATGGCCGTCGGAAGTGGCATGATAGTACCACGACTGTCATCCACGTAGACTATTCGAAGGATGCCTCGGTAGAATGCATCCGCTGCTGAAATAACTTCACCGGTGCCTGGCACCCTCGCACCAACCAATGAAACTCTCAGCAACTGACCGATCGTGTCGACATCCAGCTGATCTTCGCCATCCAGGTAACGCGGTCTCCAGGAGACCACGCTCACCGTACCGCTTTCAGGGTAGTTTAATTTAAGTCCTGCTTGCTGCATCTCGAAATCGCTGGTGTAGGCGCTCAATGCTCGACTCCTCAACAAACGGTCAATGTATTGGTTTTCTTCAGCTTTCGTTACGTCAGTTTGTGTCCCAAAGTCAAGAGGTGTTCTAGCCAACCATTTGAAGAGATTGCGCTTGGGATGCCAAGATGATAGGTCAGGATCCCAGTCATAAGTTTCATCTATATCAGTGCTCCCATCACTCTCAATTTGGACAAAGTGACCCGGAGGAATTGGTATCCATTGCACATGGGAAATACCTTCTTGGGTTGCTGCATCCTTTCTACCGTAGCCGTAGTGGAAGTCGTAAAATGGAATCGAGTACTGTGTCGTGACATCAGTGTATCTTCTGCCTGGGAACGTACGTGAAGTGTAGAACCCACCATGCATCTCCTCATGAATGGCTTTCTCCTCTTCCGCCTCTTCCCAGATATGACGCAGCATGGCGTAGACTCTTTCAATCCCAACTGCCTGCACACAATGTTGGAGACTTTCTTCTGTGCGTTCTTCCAGTTGCATTTGCTGTACTCTTAAAAGTTCTCTTACGTAAGTGTTCTCGGAATAGAGGTCACCTTCGCTATGTCTAGGCAAACTGTCCTGCATGTGTTTATTCCTGAGGTCTTCAAATATGGTATCCATTGAACGGTTTCGTCCAGCGTAAGTTGTTCCTCTTGCCGAAGGAGAACGAATTCTACTTGCATATCGTCTGGGAATGTTCATGGAGGTTGACCGTTGCTGTTGGTAAGAGTATTGCTCGCTCATGGTGGCCGCGCCTTGTTCCAGGACGTTTAGATGGAGCATGGACGGCACACTAAGAGAGTATTCTTGCCCTTGCGTAGCCACCTGTGTCTTGTAAGGAATAAGACCTTGTGATTTGGCTCTGCACCCCTTAGATACCTGAGCAGTTGTCTCTCGAACAAATGAGAAAAGAGGTTCACTTTCTTTGCGTTTCTTGATAGGCCTGTGGATTACCTCGATTTTCGTGGTAGGTGGCAGTGATTCCACGTACTCTGTTTGAGTGCTTTCTGTGTATGTTTGTGGTGTGACTGGATGTGGAATCTGTTCAACAATTGCTGTTTGTGTAATTCCGGCCATTACTGTTGGTTTGCACTGAATTCCCCAATCAATTTTGTGCACTCTGGGACTCGGAGGTGTTCTTCTCGGCTCTGAAGGCGAGTTCTGAACACCAATATGGATCGCATTCTCAAATGCACCAGCACCTTTCTGTATCCGCACACTTCGCATACTGGGCTCGTACTGCGTGCCGAAATCAAAGGTCTCTTTTATTGCAGGCGCTGCGTAAAGTGGTACTGGAGACGATGGTGGCTGGATAACAAGCGGTTGTTCAACAATTTCTGTTTGGCTTGTGGAGATCTTAAGTGAATCACCATGCGCTTGTATTCCTCTGAATTGAAGAGAAGGTTTGGTAGGTTGATAAGGAAGTGGCAAATCACTCTGAATTTCCATTGAGGTTAACTCTGACTTGGATAGAGTCGCCTGCACCTGTGTCGTCTCCATAAGTTGCGGTCGAAACATCAACTTTTTGTTCACCTTTTCGACCATCGGCATGATGGGTTGGATTTCTGCTTGAACGAGTGTTGAAACCAAATGTGCGGATGAGGATGGTGCGGCCATCACAATGGATTCGAGAGTTGGAGCCTTGATAACGGCTGATTCTTCCCAAAACGTTTGTGTTGATACTCTAGAAAGTCCTATTGGTTGAACTTGCAGTTTTTTGCCGAAACTTTTAACACCCACAGATTGAGCCGTTGTTATTGCGAGCGGTTCCCCACGGTCGGAAGGCCCACTTTCCCGGATTGTTTGTGAGTGAGCCACCGACAATGGACAAACCCTGGGTTTAGGAGACTCTGAGCGGATCGCTTGCAGGCTGGCTACACCTAGTAGCTCAGGAGTAACTTGGAGCATCTTGGTGAAGCATTCAGCAGATGGAAGAGGATCAACAGCTCTGTGAGCAAATGTTGCAGTTGGCGAAACTTGAATGGAAGCATTAGCCGATGGTTGTGGAATAGGAGAAGAGCTGAAATCTCTTCCTTCCACAGGAGGTGCGGACATTACGGTAGGCTCAGGGGTTATAGATTTAATGAGGACTGGTTCCGGTTCGGCCCAAAAAGCTTGTAACGATGCGGTGGCCAGTGGCTGGGGTTGCACTTGCAGCTTCTTAGCAAGAGTTTTGAAAGCCCCGGACTGTGTATTGGCGATATTGTAGACGGGCTTTTCAGGATCTTCGTAGACAGACTGCGTGAATACTTTGGCTAAAGGTTCTGGAGCAACTTGCAGCATTTTGCCAATTTTCCCAACATCTTTAGACTGCACAAAAGCGGTACGATATACAGAGCGCGTACGTTCAGTAAATAACGTTTGGACTGACGCGAACACCAAAGACTCCGGAGTAACTTGAAGTTTCTTGCCCTGTGTACCAACAGGAAGTGGATTGCAACCAAACTCATGTGTCGCAGGAGGTGGCGCCGACATGACTACAGGTTCCGGTGTTGGTGCTTTGATAATCACTGGCTTTGGCTCTGTCCATATTGCTTGTGAGTGACCTACGACAAGAAGTGCGGGTTTCGGCTCAGCATATAGTGTTTGTGAGACAGCTGTTGTTAGCGACTGTGGCGCAACTTGAAGTTCTTTACTGAATTTCTGCACTTCCTTCACCTGCACTGCCGTTCGGTCATAGACAGATTTAAGTAGATCTGTGTCCACGTCTTCCAACTTAGATATGGCTATATGGGTGGGGTTTTCAGCAGATTGCATAATCGCAGTCGAGAGGGGTTCTGGTGCCACTTGCAGTTTCTTGCCCTGAGTACCAACAGGAAGTGGATCGCAACCAAACTCATGTGTCGGAGGCGGTGGCGCCGACATGACCACAGGTTCCGGTGTTGGTGCTTTGATAACCACTGGCTCTGGCTCT